ATGTACAGGGGCTTTTTTTTGGAGAAGAGGAATCAGGCCATTTTGACATTTTGCATGTTGAAGAATTCAACTATGGCGTTGGGGGGTTTTGCGCTTGCCTAGTGTCAAAAGTTTCCGAGCTCTGGGCGTAGACGTGAAAATTTAACACTTAATTCAAGATGATGTGTGACACACTCGAGGCCATGGCTGCCAGATGCCGACAGGAAGCTGAATCCAATGACGTCAGCAAGACGGGCCGCCAGGGCACAGAAGAGCAAATTTTGGGCCTTCAGTAACAGTGTTTATCAGTGTTTGCAATTGTGACAAGAAGGGCACTGAAGCACACACAACCTTGCTGGTGCAGTCACACATGCACTGACGTATTTTCGTGCTGGTTGTCCTGAGCTTATACAGCAGTGTGATAACACATCTTGCTGGGCTCGCGAGCGCTGCTCTGAACGACCGGCACTGTGTTCTAAAGGAGTCGAATCCCCAGCACCCTGCCTTAAAAAGTCGGAAAAGTTTTTAATCCTGAAAAGATATTCTGCATTACTGTTTTGTTGTGTGGACAGAGTGCAGCTTCACATCACACAACCAAACGAAGATTCCCAGAACAACAATACATCATCCTGCTTGGGGACTGCCAACACTGAGGAAAAGCATCGTCAACGATCCCTAATTTCTTTTAGGGTGGCCACACAAGTTGTTGTCATAGTCGCCGGTCCTTCACGAAATGCAGGTTCTTTGAACTGTTTGTTTACTGTGAGAGTGTCGCACGCGCGTTTCATTTTTCCTGTTTTTCCTGCCAAAACCATTCTCCCTTGCTGTCCTTCCACCACATGTAGAGTTCACCATTCTTTGCTAACTTGCCGTCTTGTTATGGGCCTTGAATGACTCTGTATGTTCTTTCCCGCCATCTGTCTGCTGGTGCTCAATCGCAGCCCTATCCAAAGAACGCCTTCTTTTCTGTTCCATCGCCTGAATGAGCGCATTGGGGTCCTCCAATTTCTGATTCCTTTTCATTAACTTCCTCTTCATTACGAGTCCTCAATTTGAACAACACCAGTCCTGCTGGTACAAACCGGATTGCTTCTCCGGAACGCCCTGAATGTTCTAAGTGCTTTGCTACATGGTTTCCAGATGTCTTCAGATAAAGCTAGTGATCACACTTATTCTGAAGAGTGCAGTATAGCCAAGATGAGATTCCTGGTATGGATGCTGATGCACCAGGGCAGCCCAAGAATCCTGCGCAATCTGTGCTTCAGGCATGTTGGGACGTTCTATTTGCCGGCCGGAAATACTGTACCCGACAGAGGGTAACTGGAATCTGTGGCAGACCCTTTCTCTTTACGAGGAGCCAAGCGCCATTGTCCCCGACGCTCAGCACCAGAGATGGCCTCGGCACAAGGCATCGTCACTCGAATTCGTGTTGTGACTCTTCCACCCTCATCCAACAGCCAAGCGGCACAGTTGAAGGTGATCTGGTTTGGAACGAGCCTATGCAGATCTATGATCGACTTATCACAGACGAACTGGTCTGGAGAATTCTGACTTCAAGGCCAGAAAGCTGCCTTGTGGTATAAATTTCAGATGGGTGGCTTAGCAGCTGGGAGCTCGTCAAGCAAAACCTTGGTATCTCGGAACAGCAGTGCTAAGCAAGCGTCAAGCACAAGAGCAACTACAGTGTTCAGCTGAGCATTTTGTACTAACGCTGAAGAGACAACCAACAATTCCGTGCGGAGATCTGGACTCCTGTTCTCTGAGTAGCCCGCATGAGCTGCTCGCCATTGCACAGAACGCACGCAGGCATTCATTGCGGCACCATAGCAAATCACATCCGGCTGGACAGGCAGCTGAAGTTGTACCAATGCCCAAGCTGCTTGCCATTGATGCCGCTGGGCATTGGAATGTACAGCCCCAACAATGCTTCTAGATTTCTGCTCGAGGTCAGCTCGGGACATCTGCTGCCGGCATTGATAAGACTCAGACTCCAACAATGATTCGCAACAATCAAGTTTTCCAGGTGTCTAGCTCTAGCCGCCCAACAGACTCTGGTTGTCTTGTTATCAATGCCGTAAGCAGGCATGCCGCAATGTTTCCATGGCTCGCAGGTCACCGCCAGGACTGTCTTGCAAGACCTCTCAGCCCAGTGTGGGTAAGCGATGTAGAGCCACACTTGCGATGCAGCCGTCGAGGTAGCTCCATGGCAACGCCAGGCTGCAGCTACTTCTCTAACTATGAAACTAACAGTTTGAAACTTCGTCCGTGCGTTTTTTTTTGGCTTCAGCAGTTTGAGCCTGCCTGCCAGTACATTCCTGATACATCAGCAAAGTGGCTCCTGGCATGACACGCAGGAAACTTCAGTTATTGCTGAGATACCAAGCTGCAGGTGGAAAGGAAGTTGGCCGCAAGGACGGCTCTGAATCAAGCTCCTAACATAGCCAGCCTTGTAGATCAGAGGGGCAAAGGAAGTTGGTCCAGAAAGCCCGTAGTAGTTCTTTCCAAGCTGCTGGACAGCCTGTGCACGGCCATGGCTGGGGCGGTCTTTCTTTGGAACGAGTGATTCCACAGTGCCGAACTAACGGACACCGCGTATGCACGAGACTCTGCAGCATAGTACACATGTCTACGTTCCGTCTATGTCTCCAAGACATTCCAAGACACTGCCAACGGATTGAGACTGATTAAGTACACGTCATTCAGAGATAGCTTCTTCCGGCATCTGGCCTTGGCGTAAGCAGGCAAGACATCATTCACCGGAACTTCTTCTTTTCCTGGCCAACTTTGCCAAAATCATCTACCATCCATGTGCATCACAGCTTTCAGCGAGCCGCACAGGAGACTCGACGTCGAAATGGCGAACTAAACCTTTCCCACCCCTCTGAAAACCTTGCGCTCATTCGTGCTAGCAGCCTGGTGCGAGGGGCCGAACGGAGCGGTCTTTAGTGGACACCTCAGCTTCTTTGGCGAATTGCGAATTTGAGCTGGACGTTGAGGGATTGGTGGGTTCAGTAGCCGATGGGCCCTAACATTGGGGAGCAGCCCGAGCAAGGCATGCTACGGCTGTGACTTAGCTTTGAAAGAGGCTTCATGCAACAGCCAGCCAACCTGTTCGGCAAGCAAACCAAACAGCCAGCATACTTTCTGAGCAGGCTCACGTCTCCAAAGACAAAAGCAGGAACGACACCGTCCTCATCGAACATCGGCGCCAAAGTCTTGGCTGGTGCATGGGGGAAGGAGTCACTGAATACACAGGGCACTTGAACAACATGGTTTACCTGCAGACGCTCACACAGAAGACGGTGGTGAGCAAGACTGAGCCAGGTGCCTTCATGACGATGTCCTGATTCGGACGGGATAATCTGCTGTTGCAACCCCACCCAGAATGGCTTGCATTCGAACCACAGGCATGTCGTCTTGCAGACAGGCGTCGATGCTTCTTTGGTAGGGGTTTGGCCCATGTTGCGAGTCAAGCGTGTGCAGGCTCAGATTGTGGAAGCTCTGCTTGCCCTGCGTCATGTTTGACCTAAAAAGCAGGTTTGTGCAATCCTTGCAGTCCTCGCTCGCATGCATACCTACAACGAACAAAGCATATGCGGCAGGCTTGTTAACCAGAATGCCTGGTAAAATCGATCCCGAGAATCAGGTTGCAGGTCTCCATACCTTCCTGCAAACAGGCTGGGGATGTTTGAGGTGATGGATACGGCACTCACCAATTCTCTAGGCTGTTCTCCACAAGATTCTTAATGCTAGAAGGATGCCCTGAAGGCCTTCTTGAGAGCATCCATCAGTTGCTTCTCGTAGAAGGCCTGTGCTTGCTCCACGCATACCCTAGCTCATCAAGCCCTTACCTCCTGAGATGTGGCACAACTCCAAAGGCAGTGCCTCATCTGCGTTTGAAGTCTCAGCAGGTGCAATTGGGCTTCGCACGTTCAGCACCTTGAAACAGCAAGCAGGCTGTCTAAAATCCTGTTTTGCCGTGTGGTTTCGCCTGTTGGTTGGTTTGCCTCCAGAGGAATGCGATATGTCACATGGCTCCTGGGTGCATTACTGGTGACGTGTTCAATGCACCTCAGTACCATGCAAAATTCTTAAGCGCTCGATTACTGCTGCTTTTTGAGATATTCTTTGATGCCGCGGGGACTTGTGCAGCACATTGAGCCAGGAGACCTCCTTCACCACTGCTGCCACGTTTGCTTCAAAGCGGTGTCCAGACACGTATCCCCCCATGGCTCGAACAGTCGAGAAAGGGCGGACTCAGTCTTGTCAGGCGGTTGAGGCTTATCCGGGTCTAGGCTGCAATCACCTTTTGTTTGATGAGGTAGCATGTGCTGTGATCCACCAGCGAATCCGGCAGTCAGCTGCTCGCTTGCGATTGGTATCAACGACCTCAATGCGTGCAAACAGCCTTGGGAACAAACAAGCTCTAGGTCTCTAGGTTTTCCGCTTTTGGTGGTGGTGGTGGCAAAGGCGTGACAGCGTGGCGGTGTGGCGGTGTAGCGGTGTGGCGGTGTGGCGGTGTGGCGGTGTGGCGGTGTGGCGGTGTGGCGGTGGGGCTGTGTGGCTGTGTGGCGGTGTGGCGGTGTGGCGGTGTGGCGGTGTGGCGGTGTGGCGGTGTGGCGGGGTGGCGGTGTGGCGGTGTGGCGGTGTGGCGGTGTGGCGGTGTGGCGGTGTGGCGGTGTGGCGGTGTGGCGGTGTGGCGGTGTGGCGGTGTGGCGGTGTGGGGGTGTGGGGGTGTGGGG